GGCGGGAGGCGAGGGCGGGCGGGCGCTGGCTATCGGGCGGGCGGGCGGGCGGGCGAGAGAGCGACGCCAGCTCCCCGTGACTCACCGCGCGCTCTGCCGCATCCTCGCCCCGCGCTCCTTTTTCCCCGGCCCGCGGCCCCGCCCACCTCACCTGCTGCCTCCTTTAACCCTTGCTGGCGAGGCGGGACGGGAGGCCCTGCCCAGCGGGCGAGGAAGGAGGGGGCGAGGGGAGGGGGATCGAGGCTCCTCCCTGTCCTTGTCCCCCTCCACTCCCTGAACGACGGGTCCCTATCGGGTGGGAAGCTGCCTTTCAGCAAGCACGGCTCTGCTGCGGGACGCGGTGCAGAGCTTGGGGAAACGTGGAGGGGTTCCTGGGGTGCTGGTGGGCCGCCCTTATTAGAGCGCCCATTGTTTCGCCCGACCCGGCGAGTTAAGAGGGAGTCAGGATTGAGCACCAAGAATGTGTCCAGTCCCCTGCTGGTCCAGGACACGGGGAGTTTGTCCCCACCACTTCTCTTCAAAGCACCCACCCCGTCCTTCTCCAGCATCTAGACCCTCCACTTTGGCCTCTCATCTTTCTAGGTGCCCCCCATTCCTTCCCCACCTGCGGGTCTCTGCCTGTCCCCACCCCGGTCTCCCAGACCCCTCTGAGTTCGTCCTCCACGCCCCCCCCCCTTTAGACAATTCCAGGGCCTCCCAAGGCCGCCCTTCCAAAGCTCCTCCCCCTGTCCCCGAGGGGCTCATCTTTTGGGACTGACGACTGGCAAGCAGTCTGCGTGGCCCTGAGCAGGGACGTGCCTGAAGAGAACTGGGGAGCCGCTGCGGCCAGTTCTTCCCGGTTCTTTGGGAACCTCATTCTAGGGAGAGGTCCTGGATTTCTTTCGGAAAAACAGAGACAGGAACACAATTTAACATTCAGGTGAAATTCCAGGGCGTTCCTGACGCTTACCTAAAAAGTTCTCCAAAGATTCCGACCAGCTGAGGTCCTCCACCCCCAAATGCTGGGGGGGGGGGGGCAGACCTCTGTTAGATCCCCGCTTGTTAGCCTAGCGTGGAGTTGGCCCTTCCTGGCTATTGGCAGCACTGGCCTCCAGAGGTGACTCTTTCTATGCAGATGCTCTCTGAGCAGTTTCTGTATTTCTTTCTTTGCAGGAGTTAGCTTTCCCTATGAGCTTAACCACTGGCTTTTTATATTTTCAAGGTTCTCCCCCACTTTTTTTGCCTTATAGTTAATTTCCTAGAGTCGTGCTGGAATTAGGCTGATTTCATGTCGCTCCTGCAGCCCCTTTCACCTACACTGGTCCACCTGTCCTGCAGTCCCACTTTCAGACACACTAAAGATGTAGAAAGAGCTTAACTTTTTTCTTTGAATATAATTTAACTGAAAGTGTACAAACCATTGGAAAGCCAATCTCTGCGTGTGTGGTTGCGCCCCCTCCCCACAAGCCTGCATACTTTTTTTTTAGCCAGAGTCAGTGTCCAAACAGTTTGCGCGTCTCTCTCTTCTCTAAAGCTCGATTCCTTTATCTTGACAACTCAGAGCGCAAGTTGGGAGGATTTGCTGTGGCTTCCAGGAATTACATTGTGTAGGGGCAATGGAGAGACAGACGACCTCGTAGTAATTGTTAAATACATCGGTTCCCAGGGTGGTATAGCGTGCTCACAAAGATCTTTGAATTAGAATTCCCAGACCTAAAATCCTAGCCCCTCTCCTGCGCGCTTGCTTAAAGTGTCCCTGGAAAACAGGGTGCCCTGAAGCCCCCCTGTGCTCTGCTGCCCTGCTGGGTGAGGGGCTGGGCATTAGCGAACCAGCAGATGGGCGCCCCCAGTACCAGGGCTTGGGATCCCCCCATCGGGATCTCTCTCTTCCTCACGCTTGGGGCACCTCAGTGCAGTCCTGAGAGCTGCTTGGGTCCTTGTGCCCGTTGTTAAGTTGGCCTCTTCTTTGTCATGGTTTTCTCTCTGCCCACTCTGTGTGCAAAGCCTCACACTCCCGTCTCCAGCTGCTGCCTCTGGGTTGGATTTGGGTGCTTCCCAGGTCTAGAGTGGAGCCCCCAACCTGCCAGGGCCACTCCAGGTCCCGGTTTAGGGCTGAGCAGAACCCCTGTCCTATCTCTCCCTCCCAGCTGCCCGCTGTCGCCCGCCCAGTCTGCATGTTACTCCTGGAAGCTGAAGCTGGCGCAGGGTTCTGACTCCCGGTGGACGACCGAGTTCCATTCCCCTTTATAGGCACCAGGGTGCCTTAATCTTCCCGGTGCCACCCATCCTTTCTTGGAAAGCAACAGGCAGATACCTCACCCCACTTGTAGCCTAGCCCCCCTGTAAGCACACTGCGCCCCGAATCAGGCAGCCTGGAAGTGGTCCCTGGAAGCGCTCGGCACGTGGAAGTCCTGCCTTTCTCCTGGCTCCCACGGACTTCACCTCTCGGCTTCTGGCCCTTTCCGTTCCCTCTTGCTGGGACGTTTCCTACAGAGCGGTAGCTGTGGTCAGATAGGGACGGGATGCCAAGTTCCTCGCCGCCCAGATTCTTACCTGAATGCTACTCATCACACAAATTTAGCTCTGCCCTGGGACTTGGGGACTTGGGCTGTTTCTGCCCCTCCCTCCCTCCCTCCCTCCCTCGTGCGAAGATATACATCCCGCCACCCCACAAGTGTCCACCTCCCATCCTCACCCAGCCCTCCTCCTCTCAAGCCTCATGGATGGGATTTGCACCAGGAACAGCCTTCTTCCTTCGCTGGTTCACCATACGCAGCATTGTTAACTGAGCACCTACTATGTGCACACCAGGCACTTTCCACAGTCCTAGCTTATTCTCATGAGCAGGCAACAAAGTAATTATTATTATTATTCCCATTGTCTAGAGAAGGAAGCCAGGGATCAAAGACACTAAATGACCTGCGGAGATGACAGAACTGTTAAGAGACAGAGGAGGAAACTGAGCCCAGATCTAAGATGCACAGCCCACGTTCTGCCCCTGTGGCCTGCACTCCCCAGACTGGAAGCTGGTGACTCGGACACCCACACTGTCCTCCTCCTTCCCACCCTCCTACATTCCTGGAAACCTCATAGCGCTGAACCAAGAACTGGGGTCAAGCAGTTTTCTATTTTTTTAAAAATCCTTATTCATTCAACAAACACTTCCTGAGGCTCTAACTGGGGCCAAGCACTGTGCTGGCTACCAATTCTTTAGTCATCCAAAGCTCACAAGCATCCAGCCCATCCCTCCTCGGTGTAGGCACGAGCCCCCTGAGCACAGTGCATGCCTGTGTGTGTGCACACGCATGCACGCATGCCTTGACACATGTATGTGCTGTCTGTGTCATCCTCTCTTCTGTCATAAAGGGAGCCCCCCATGTGTTCTGTCCTTTGTTCGTCTGTTTGTTTTATTCAGGGTCTCGCTGCGAAACCCAGGCTGGCCTTGAACTCATGTTGATCCTCCTGCCTCGGCCTCCTAGGTGCTGGGATCCCGAACTGTGATACGCAGGCGCCCTGTAAACCATCCTCTGAGAACGAGGCCCCGAGGCCCCCTGGGGGACCCCTGTGCCTCTCTGTGCAGACCCTGAGAATCCTCCCTCGCCTCTGCTCTCTGGAGTGGAGAGCTGGTCCCCTCTCTTACCAGTCCATGGAGCCCCGGGCTGGCAGCGGCTGAGGGCCGAGTGGGGGCAACTAGAGAACCAGCCTTTATAAACGGGGCGACAGGGAGGCCGAGGGGGAGGTGGGAGACACAGGAGGGCTGCTGCCAAGTCCTCGCGGCCTCGGAAGCTTTTAGGATAATCCCGGAAACAGTGGCCCGGCTCTCCCGGGGAGTGGCAGGGGTGCAGGCAGCCTCCCGGGGCTGCCAGGAGAGGGGGTTTCCGCCGGGAGCAGCTGTGGCGGGGGCGGGGCGGGGGACGGCTCCCCAGACTCTGTCCGCGCCTGGAGGGTTTCCTCCGAGGCTCGGTGGGAGAAAAAAGGAGTTCGAAACACACCCAGCCTGCAGCCCGCGTCCGGCTGAGCCCCGCAGCGGACTCCGGCCGCCCTCTGCCCCCAGCAAGGGGCTCCCCCAGAAACCCACACTGCCCACCCTCGGGGCCTGGGACCCCTGACGGGATGGGGAGGCCTCGGGGCGCCTGGCCAGGGCAAGAGCCGGGTTGGGGTACAGCCCCGCACCCAGTTCTTTATAGGACCCTAATTTGAGGGTGGCAGATTGGCCGGCGGGGGCAGGTCCTGCGGCGGAGGGGACCAAGAGCCCGAAGGAGGAGCTGGACCCGGGAGACCGTTCCCAGCGCGGCGAAGCTGGGAATTCTGGCCGCTGGGAAAGCGGCCCGGGGGTTTTCTCGGCTCCTCCCCATTCTCTCCGTAGCCCAATGCCCTGCTTGGGATCCTTCACCCCAACTCTTCTGCTCCCCACCCCCAGCAGTCTCTAGCCTGGGGATTCCCAGTGTGTTCCTTAGGCTTGCAGTCATTACCCCGCACGCCCCACGGGTTCTTTCCCCCCATTTCAGAGAGGAGACCATCGAGGCCTCTCAGAGCGAAGCTGGGCAGGAGGCCGCCCCGCGCGCAGGGTGGCGCAGGCCAAGCACACAGCAGCAGTCCTAGGCAAAGCCGGGAGGACCGAGCCGGCTCAGCTCGCGGGGACCCAGGCGTCAGGACCCGCGCTGGCTCCAGGGAGGGGCTTCCCTCCCCCCCTTCCAGCCCAGAAACCCTGAGAGGGGGGAACGGGGGGAGACCACACAGGTGGAGTAAATAATGTTAATACAGAGCATTGTCGCCAGGGCATTTCCTCATGGATAAATGTCTCAAATACCAAAGGATGCCTCCAAATTATAGTTAATTACAGAGTCGATTTGCATAAATTATAAGGTGAGCATACAAATTCTTTCAATCGGTTCCATATGCTTAGGTAGCAGGTCCAGTGCAGAAGATGGAAGAATCTTGGGGTGCAGGGTGGAGTTGGGGGGAGAGGCAAAAGACCCAGCCCTGGACTCAGACCTGCACCCTCCTTCGAATGGCTAGAGGAGACGCAGATCTGTGCGGAGCAGGGCAGTGAACGGCGAGGCCACGGGGCCCCCGCTTGGCGGGCTGGGGGACCCCTTCCCTCCTCTCTTTTCACCTCCACGACGGAAGAGAGCGGCCGGAGCTGCAGATGGGGGATGGATCCTGGATGGTGGCTCTGGCCTTGGAGGAGGGGGCATCCCTGGGGAACGTGCAGGGGACACAACAGAGCCAGGACAGGGCCCAGCCTCGCTGGTTGGGCACAGCTCCCCCGACGCACGTTCACACACTCACACACGTTCACACACACACACACACACACGCCGGCTCGCTCGAGCCAACCCTTGGATCTCGGGTTTGATGTTGCCGCTGCCTGCACCCCTCAGCGTCCAGGTGTCTCCGGGGAGGCTCAGACTCCCAGACTCCGGCTCCTGCGCCGCGCGGATCCCCGGCCCCGCCCCGCCCCCACGGAGCTGCTAAGACTCCGCTTCCTTCCCCGGCTCTCTAATTTGTCCCTTTCCTCGCTCCCTGGCCTCCTCCCTAGCCCCAGCCGCGTCTCCCGCTCCCGGGCTTCCTTCCCCGCCTCTCGGCGTCAGCTCCCTTTTCCTCCTCCGACCCTCCCTGCACTGCCCCCCGCCCCCCGCGGCTTCCCCTCCGGCAGAAGCGACCAGATCGGGTGGGGGGAGGGCGGGGTAGCGGGGTCCCAGGATGGGCAGTTACCATGGTCTCATCATCTGAAGTCGGAGAGATGGGGATGGAGACAGAGTTAACAGAGTGCCCAGTGCTCAGTACTTCGTTATGTTTGATGATTGAATAAATGAGGTAGAAAATGGACGCTGGTCTGTGGAAATCCTAGGCCACCTGCTCACAGGTGTCACTTCCCACCTGGTGTCCACCACACCCGTGCGCACCACCTACACTGTGCTGCAGACCCACACGCATTAACCAGCTAAAGTGCCCTTCTGCCACTCCAGTGGCTCTCCTGGAGCCAGGTGTGGCGCCCGGGACCCTGCTGCCTGGCCTCCGACTCCTCAGCAGGGTTCGCCTCTGCTCACCCAGCTGGCCAGACAGACGACAGACAGACGTGCTGTTCCTCAGCACATCCGGCCTTTGCTTCTGCTCTGGTGACTTCCGCCGCCGCTGCCCCATCCGCATGTCCACCTCCCTGCTGCCGGCTCAGGGCTGCCTTCAAGGAATCAGCACTTAATCTCCTGCACAGCCCGCTCCTCCTAGAATCTCCCCAGCACCTGCTGCTCAGGCCTTCCCTGGGTTCTCCTCTTATCTCCGCTGCTAGATGAAATTCCTTCGGGCAAGGTCCATCTCCTTCATGCCACGTGGTCCCCCTCACAGCCCCAGAGCCTCGCCTTGGGAAGGGGTGGTTAAGCTCAGCATGAGAAAGGGATGAACTGGAGAGTTACTTGGGAGGCTGAGGCAGGAAGGCTGCAAGTCTGAGCCTGGCCAGGGTGACCTACAGAGGTGCTGCTCAAAATAAAAATTGAAAAAGGGCAAGGATGTAGCTCAGTGGTAGGGCACCCTTCAGTTCCATCCATAGTACTGGGAGAAAAGCATCTCCCTGGCATCCGGGCTTTTAGAAGCTGAGTCAGGTCTGGGGACCAAGGATAGAACGGGCCGTGGCACAGGAAGGGCCCAAGGGCAGCGGGCCAGCCTCCTAGGGTCTCTCCCAGCTGTCCACCCATGTGTCCACAGAGTATCTGAGACCCAGGCTCAGGTTCAAGGCCAAGGAAAGAAGCTTCCTAGACTGGGCATGGTGGCGCGCCTGTAATCCCAGTTCTTGGGAGGCTGTAAACAGGATCACTACGAGTCTGATCTAGTAGTGAAACCCTGAACACCTGTAGACCCTTCCCTAAAATGCAAAGAAGAAGACGAAGACAAAGACAAAGCAGAAGCAGCAGCAGCAGCAGCAGCAGCTTCCAGCCAGGCCAGGCCGCTTGGAGGTTTGGGACAAAAGGGTCAAGGATAGTGAGTGGCAGCTGGGAGACAGGGCTGGCAGATGGCAGCTGTGGTGGACAGCAGAAGCAGCAAGAGTCGCGTTCTTTCCTCCCTCTGTGGAAAGTTAAAATTCTTCTTGCAAGGTGAAAGAACCCTGATCATGTCATGTTTCTGCTCCAAAACTTTCAGCAGCTCACTGCAGGAAGAAATCCGTGCTCTTTGAACTGGAATTTAAACTCTATCCCCATCTGGCCTTGGGCTACCTTTTTAAGCCATTTCCTTTCTATTCCATGGGAGCCTTCTGCTTTACCCTCAGTATTTACAAACTTTCCCACATCATATCTTTCCCTGTGTGAAATCCTCTTCCCCATTTTTCTGCCCCTATAAACTCTTATTGATCCTTTGAAACCCTACTCATTTGTCCCCCTCCTCTGTGAAATCTCTTCTTCTCCACTTTACCCTTTGTGTGTGTGTGTGCACGCGCGCGCTCTGCGAGTCCTGAAAATACAGATGGGGTTGTTGCTACTGCTCTGTGGTTCGTGTGATTAGTTGGGTGACCCGTTTGGGGGGCTGGAGGCTGATGGGTTCTCTGTTAATCTATTTCCCAGAGCCACCCAGGGTTTACAAAATGGGCTTCCAGTGTCTACACCAAGCCTGCCCTACCCCTTCCTCCTTCCGCTGAACACTGTGCCCAAAGGCCTGCCAGGACTCCAGGTCAGGGTGAAGTTGCACAGAGACCCTGCATCCGGGGTCCTGGGCAGCTGGGTGGCCCACCTGAGCTCAGGGGTCAGATAAGAGTGCTAGGCATCAAGACCTGGCGGGCAGAAGGGGCCAGGCAGGGAGGGCAGGCAGTGCCCTGGGAGGGGGCCGGCCTCATTGTTGTGGTCTGTCTGGGAGATGCCTCCCCTTTTTAATTTGCTTCCTGATTGAGGCCTAGGCTCTGCCCGCCCGGCTCCTCCGTCATTATCTGCTGCCTGTGGCTCAGGTGCCGGCGAGCCTGCGTGGCCCCTGGGTTATTACCTGAAGCTCGGGGGTGGTAGAGGCCGCCCCTCGGGCTGGGGTGGGGGCCTGTCTGGAGTCTGCTGTGTCCTGCCACCCACGGGCAGCCATCTGGCGGGTGGACAGCGCAGGGGGCTGGGGGCTGGGGGTGGGGTAAGGCTGGTCTTGGGGGACTTCGGAGTCTAGAACCTTCATCTGTCAGTGTGTCCCCAAAGGAGTCAAGGACCTAAGACAGATAAGACTTGGGTGACAGGGCTCCAGAGTCCCAGAGGCTCCTCCAATGCACTTCAAGGGACTCAAATCACACCTCGGGAAGAACTTCCCAGCCAAGATGAGGATGAGGAGGGAG